TTAAAAATATTAATTAAAAAACCTACATGAAAGATATACTGGAACTTTTTCATAATAGTTTTAAAAATATGCCAAATTAAAAAATAATAAAATACATTAGCTATGTGAGGACAAAATGAGATAATACTCAGTGTGTAGCACTTAGAACAGTGTTTGCAGCACAGGATTTCATAACATGTTATTATGTTAGCATGTATTCTTATGATATTATTATAATATAATGAATACAGTCGATAATCTATTCAAGTCACTTGCTTCTTTTTAAACATATTTTTATGGAATTTTTGTAGATTTCCTATAATATATCTTAATCTATCTGCGGCCCCCCATAGCCTGCCCACAGGACTTCATACATTTTGTCATATGTGTTAAGGCCCATCAAGTCAAATTTGTGTACCCAGATGTCCCTCAATGTGAGTTCATCCCCTGGAACCTGGTCAGCTTCTCTAGCATTACCCTCTAAAGAAGACCAGCTCTCCCTCATCCAGCAGGGGTCAGCTGTCAATAGTTCCTTGGCTAAAGTTGGGGCTTCTTCCCCATTTCCCCAGTTTGATGATGCTGGTTTTCTCTGACTGAGTTTGCATGAGCCTTGTGCATGCTGTCACAACTGCTGCAACTTCATATGAGCAAGTTCCCAGAAGCCTGGAAGACTCTGCTTCCTTATACCACCTCTGGCTCTGACAATCTTTCCACTCCCTTTTCTGCAATGGTCCCTGAATCCTGAGTGGGTGAGGTTTAAGTCACTCATTTCTTAACATTATCATACATTCCTATGTATTTCTTTTCCCCTCTCTCCCCTCTGGAGTATATTGAGTATGGATGTAATATTTTAAACATATATTTTTATTTTATGTGTATGGGTATATTGCCTGCATGTACTACATGTGTGTGGTGCCCGAGGAGGTCAGAAGAGGGCATCTGATCACCTGGAACTGGAGTTAGAGACTGTGTGCGTGCTGGGAATTGAACCTGGGTCCTCTGTAAGAGCAGCCAGTGTTCTTAATCACTGAGCCACCTCTCTAGCCCCATGTATAGATATAATTTTAAGAGATAAAATAAGATCAGATTTTATTTTGAGAATTGCTTTGGAGGTTGTGTGTGGGTCATTTTCTCTGGCTAACACATACATGGGCATTTGAAACTGCATGGTTTGGAAGGCCCTGGGTCTCTACCCATTCCATTGTGGTTTGCGACAGCAACACTTGGAGCTCAAAACAGTTAAGTGACTTGTCAGGCTTGCAACAGGACTGGCAGAGGCAGGACCTGGGCTCTAGATCCTCATAACTTCAAGACTGGGTCTAAACGTCTGGGGGATTTTAAATATATAGCCAGGTTCACAAACTCTTGGTAGAGACCTATGGTTATTAACCTGGGGTGGTTCCTCCCTGGGAGCCTTTGCCAGTGAGTGACTGGTATTTTTAGTTTTCCTAACTGGGGGATTACTACTGGTGTTTAGTGCATAGAGCCCATTGGTTGCTGCTAAACATTTTACAATGCAAGAGCAGCCCACACAACAAAGAACTGTTCAGTCCCAAATTTTAGTAGAAAGTCAGAGGTGGTCATGGTAGAGCTGTAATCCCAGCTATTTGAGGGGCAGAGGCAAGAAGATTACAAGTTCAAGGCCATCCTGGGCAACTAAATGAGGTCTTGTATCAAAATAAAAAGCTGGGAATGGAGCTGTAACTCAGTGATAGAGCGTGCGCTTAGCATACATGAGGGCCTGTGTATAAGCCCTAGTGCTGTGCAGAGGAAGAAGAAGGAGCAGAAGGAGGAGAAAGAGGAGGGAGACAGAGGAGGGGAAGGGAGAGGAGGGGGAGGGGAGAGGGAGGAGGAGAAGGAGAACAAGAAAATAGCAACAATAAGAAAAGTAAGGGGACCTGGAGAGATGGCTCAGTGGTTAAGAGCACTGGCTGCTCTTGCAGAGGACCTGGGTTCGATTCCCAGCACCCGCGCGGCAGCTAACAATCAGTAACTCCAGTTCCAGGGGATCCAATACCCTCTTCTGATCTCCTTGGGCATTGCATGACACAGGTGTAACTTACATACATGTAGGCAATACACTCAAACACATAAAACAAAAATAAAATATTAAAAAGAAAAATAAAACTAATTGCCATGTGTGGTGGCACACTCCTTTAATCCCGGCACTTGGGAGGCAGAGGCAGGTGGATCTCTCTAAGATCGAGGCCAGCCTGGTCTACATAGTGAGTTTCAGGCCAGCTGGGGCTAGGGAGACCCTGTCTCAAAACTAAACCAAAAATAAATAAAACTAAAACCAAAAAGTGCTCTCACATCCTGATGTAGTCTCAGGAAACATTCTGAACTTAGAAATCTGACTTGGCTCATATTTACTGAATACTATGCTGGACAGTGTGGGGGATATGGATAAGGTGGTAAAGGTTACAGTCTACTGGGGCAGGGTGGAGGCGAGAGAGAAGGGCAAATACTTTTACTACGAGGCGGAATGTTATAAATGCAAAAAGAGAGTCCAGTTAGAGTTGCGCGTACTCAGCAGGGGAGAGCTATGTCTGGTTGTGGGAAGAATTCAGGGTGGCAGTTGAGAGGGGTTGTCTGGATTTGTGAACAAAGTTCAGCCAGTTTGAAGACATAGGAACTGTTCATGGAATAGCAATCTGATTTGAGTGGAGCACAGGGTGTACCTTAGTGATAGGAGGGGGCACACTGGAAAGGCAGGGTGGGTCTAAAGCTTTGAGTACAGTAGTGACCTCTAGCCTTGGTGTCCATCCTAGTGATGGGGAAACTGTCTCTTCTAGAGTGGTGCTCTGGGCCCTAGAACCGTGGTCAGCACCTTCCAAAGAACTTGATTACAAAGGAGGGAAGTTGGAAATTGGGGGGAAGGTGAGTTGAACTTTTCTTGAATTTAGAAACACATTGATCCTGAGTATGCAACAAATGATTTATCTCAAAATAGCTCGAGGTGGGGGGATGGTGCCTTAAGAAGTGTGCACGGAGATGACCTCGCTTCTGTGTGGTTACTGTGAAGGGCTGGGCCACCTTGGCTGTGGTGAACACGGGACCAGATTCAGAAGCACTAACTAAGGTCTGCTTTCCAAAAGGTGAGCTGTTTGAACACAGCCCAGTGTGCCCACAGCTACTGTATGGCTGTTACCTGTTGATAGGACTTTTGTGGTTTGTTACGTTACCATCAAATATCATTAAAATTGTTGATGGCTTACCTGGTACACTATAAAGAATACAGAACTTTTATTTACTTTCTATGAATTATACTTGTCAATCACCTCCCATCATGACCCCCTACTCGGGTCCCGAGGAAATTCATTAGTCTTCTAAAAGGAGGGGTTAGAGAAGAGGGTAAGGGAGAAGATCTTGGCTGGGTGTGTGTGCATGTGCGTGCGTGCGTGTGTATTATTTGTGCACATGTGTGTATTTTATCAGCTACAGTTGCAGATGCTTTGCAATACAGTATATCTTACCTTTTACAACACTCTTTCAGGGTAAGTACAGTTTCCTCCTTTCCGTTAATTAGGATACTGGCCCTGAGAAAGACTAACTTGTCTCAACTCTCTGTAGGTAAAGGAGCACATTTTAATGAATATGTTATCTGTTTTATCACATTTTCCACCCCATTTTTCCCGTTCATAACAAATTAATCATTTTTGTCTGCGTGTATATGAGCTGCAGGTGAGGTGCAAATCAATCTTAGCTGGGCGTGGTGGCACAATCAGGAGACTGTGGTAGGAAGAGTGCAAGTTTCAGGTCAGCCTGGGCTACACAGTGAGACTGTCAAAAAATAAATGAACAAAGAAAAGGATGGAGGGAAGGAGAGGAGAGGGGTCCATTTACCTGGCTTTGGGCGGCTAGAGACCGTGGACACCAGCATTGCCAGCAGCAGCAGCAGGAGGGAAGGGACCAGAAGCTTCATTGGGGCTGTCTCTGCTGCAGTTGCTTGAAGAGCTTGTGGATTGCCACCAGTTAGAGGCTTCTGATTTCTTGGAATAGCTCAGGCGGTGTGCTTGGCTCAGTGGTCTGCACTTTAATCCCACATCAGAATTCCCAGCAGAGGGCAAGAACCGGTAAGGTGGCACTGGCTGTGTTTGGACCAGATTAGACCAGGTGCTTTATAGGAATCTGGGAGGTAAAACTGGTCAAACAAAAGAAAGGCAGCACTCTTAAGAACACAGAAGTGACTGATAGCTTGGCAGTGGTTGCCTGCTCCTTCTCCTTTTCCTGGACTCCGCACCCCCCGTGGAGTTATCATTCTTTAGACTTTTTTTTTCTCATTTTGATTTCCTTATACCTTTCAGCAACCATTCATAGGAAGAACCTGGGGGCTGCAGGTTGGCAGAAAAGAGGATAACTGCTCTGTTTCCCCTCTGTCCTACTTCCAGTCCTTGGCAAGGTACCAGCCACTGTCGTACTATGCCTGGGCAGCTGTCCTGTCTTTACTCTGTTAACAATTCCTTCCAATTCTGTAACCATGTAAGGTTGAAGCAGACTGGAGTTAAGAAGAGCTGGTTCAGCTTCGGGGTGGTGGGCATGCCCCTCTAGTTCTAGCACTGGGGAGGCTGACGCAGGAGGATTTTGAGTTTGATGACAGAGGTGTCTGCATCACAAGATCCTATTTCAAGAAGCAGTGGCCTGATGGTAGAATGCTTGTCTAGCATGCGTGCCACACTGGGTTTGAGTCTCAGCACCACAAAACAACAACAGGCAATTCTCCCTTGTCCCCCAAACACATCCCTGGAACAGTAAGGGAAACCAAGCTTCTCATTGCTCATCGGGAAGATGGTTATGGTTTAGTTGCTCCAGTCCAAAGGAGGGAGTTATATGTGTGGCAGATCTCCAGGGCTTCAGGTCCAAGAATGTTTGAGTGTAGGAGCTACAGGGGGAGGTGGGAGGGGGAGAAGGAACCTTTGAAATATGTTTGCCCAGGCTAGGCGTGAAGGTGGGGATTCTTGTCTCCAGACTGTAGGAAAGGCCCAAGGCAAAAGCAGAAAGCTAATGATACTGATAGTAGACATTAAAGGTTATTGTGTTAGAGCTTTCCACACTGACAAAATACTTGAGATACTCAGATCACAAAGGAGGAAAGGTTTAGTTTTGACTCACAGTTTAAGAGGTGTTAGTCCACAGTCAGTTTGCCCTGATGCTTTTGAGCCTGTGGTGAGATTTATCATGGGACAGGTACACAGTGGGAGATACTGCTCACTGCATGGCAGCCAGGAAGCAGGGAAGAGACAGGAAGGGACACGGACCCAGATGTCCTTCAAGGTATAGAGCCCCATGACCTAACTGTCCTACTAAGCTCCAGCTCCTAAAGGCTCTTCAACCTCCCAATAGGCTGATGACCCGGCTTTTAACTCATAGGCCTTTGGGGGACATTCAAGATCCCAAGTGGAACAGTTAGTGAGCATCAGCATTTACTGAAGGTGGTGTCCATTTCAGAGACTTTAGGAATGTGTCCAAGAAAGAAGGATGGCTCGACTTGATTGTTGGGTCACATTTGTAGGGGCTGAAGAGACTGTTAACAAGGACGTCTTTCCTACAACCTGAAGGTAGGCATGAGAGGGTAGTAGGAATTTGTTCCCCCAAAGGAGCGACCGGATAAAGCACAAGTGAGAATTTAATATTATTTTTTTGAGACAGAGTTTCACCCTATAGCCCAGGCTGACCTTGAACTCAGAGCAATCCTCTTGCTTCTGCCTTTTGAGTTATTATTATTTTTTTAATTCCTGATTTGGTTTTTGATTTTTTGCTTGGTCATTTCTATCCTCTTCCTTTGTCCTCGACTGTTACCATGTTGGAGAGCTGTGCTGGGCAGTGAAAATGATCCCCAAGTTGACGGCTTGGTCTTGGTCTGATATAGCATGGATGTGACGTCTTTCTAGGAAGTTCTAAAAAACAGTCTCTATTTCCAGAAGGCTGAACTCTAACTAGGGGTGACATACACTTCATAAACCTAGATACAAATGGAATCAACTTTCAAAGGTAGCAGAAGTTCACTAGAGACTGAGGGAGATTGGGTGGAAGGTCTGTTATTTTTAAGATTTATTTTTATTTTTCATTTATGTGTGTGTACGTGTCACATGTGTGCAGGTGCCTATAAAGATCAGAAGAAGGTACGGGATCTCCTAGGAGCTGGAGTTTACAGGCAGTTGTGAGATACCTGTTGCAGGTGCTGGGAACTGAACTTGGGTCCTCTGGAAGGGCAGCAAGTCCTCTTAGCCACTGAGCCATCTTTTTAGCCCCAAAAGTTTTTTTTTTTTTTTTTGAGACAAGGTCTAACTATGTAACCCAGGCTGGCCTAAAACTTGTGACCCTGATCAGCTTTCAGAGTGATGAGCTTACATTTACCATCCCATTAAGCAGAACTTGAGGGGGATCTCACAGAGGAGGTAGGAGGCTGGTAGAGGGCAGGGAGCAGTGTGTCCTAGTGCGGAACTGATTGAATGGGATCTTTGCGGGCAGGGCTGTTGATTGTTCATTTTTATATTCTCTGAACTCATGTAGGGCCTGGCTCCATCCGAGTACTCTACAAATATTTGTTGAATTAAGCAATAGTTTTCTAACCCCTTAGTGTGGCCCGATTAGATAGGAAGTGGGTGAAGGCACTGCCTATTAGAAGAAAATCTTGGCGATAAACGGTCATGCACACCATGTGCAGACATGGAGCTCACTGAGCTGCCCATGGCCCAGCCCGTGCTGAGGCCACTGAGGGATCACGCAGCTCTCCCTCAGCTCTAGCTTCAGGTTCAGGTTCCCCCAGTCTGTTAATCCCTGTTCCCCCAAGTCCTGGCTGCCTGTCAGTTCCTTCCATCTGGTTTTCTCCTCCATGGACATGGGCTAGTGTGTTTCACAGGACGGACTTGGGTCCTTTAGGTTTTTGAGTTAAAACACCCTTAAGACAAATGGAATTTTCTTTTGTTGATATTAGCAGTTTCTTGTGTTGTGTGTACATGTAAGAGTACACATGCATGTGTGCGCTTATGCATGTAGAGACCAGAAGTCAATTTTAAATGTCATTCCTCAAGAGCCACCCACCTTTGTATATGTGCACATGTGTCTCACCTCACATGTCTCCATGGAGCCCAGAGGTTGCACTGAGTAGCTTTCTCTATTGTTCTTCTTTTTAAAAACTTAAAAACATTTTTAGTTATTATTTTTATTTTATGTGTTTGAGTGTACTGTCTGCATGTATGTGAATGCACCTGTGTCATGCAATGCTGCAGAGGTCAGAAGAGGGCTTCGGGTTTCCCTGGAACTGGAGTTAAGGATGGTTCGTAGCTGCCATGTGGATGCTAGGAATCAAACCCGGGTCCTTCCACAAGAGCAGTCAGTGCTCTTAACCACTGAGCCATCTCTCCAGCCCCTTTTTAAACACTTTAAAAATAACATTTGTAACATTTATATGTGTATGTGTGTGGAGGCATATACCTGTTATTTGCTGTTTGGGCTAAAGTGGCTGGTCAGTGAGGCCTGGAGATCTACCTGGCTCTGCCCCTCAGTGCTGGGATTACTGGCCTGCACTGCCACACCTGGCTTTTATATAGGTGTTGCAGACAAAACTAAGGTCCTCAGGCTTAGGAAGTAAGCACTTTCCCCAGAAAGTCATCTCCCTAGCCCTTCACCTTGTTTATTGAGACCCAGTCTCTTACTGGCCTGGAGCTTGCCACATAGGCTAGGCGGCTGGTCAGGGAACCCTAAGACCTGCTTGTCTCTACCTCCCCAGCACTGAGATTACAAACATGCACCACTATGCTAAACTTTTCCCATACGCCTTTTTCTTTTAAAAAATATTTTATTATTTATTTACTTTTTAAAATGTGTGTGTGTGTATTGTCTGCATGTAGGTAGGTGCACCTGTGTTGTGCAATGCTTGCAGAGGTCAGAAGAAGGCTTCAGACCCCCTGGAACTGGAGTTACAGATGGTTGTTATCTGCCATGTGGGTGCTGGGACTCGAACGCAGTCCTTTGAAAGAGGAACCAGTGCTCTTAACCACTGAGTCAGCTCTCTAGCCCCTCCTATGCTTAGCATTTTCATGAGGATTGTAGGGATAAACCTTTACTGACTGAGCTATCTTCCTAGCCCTGCACCGATGATATCTTACAGTCCATCTCAGGAATATTGTATGTGTCAAAAGTCTCACTGATATGCAAAGGCCCTCCCCCAGGAAGGAGGAAAAGAGGAAGTGGGGAGAGAATACCATTCTTACTTGGCTATTTGCTTCCTGAATTCTATAGCACTTGCCAGACATTCCGATATATTTGCTGGTTGATTCCACACTTCACGTTGATGTCATGACGGTCATTTTTTACACATCAATTCCCTGAAGTGTGCAGTAGCTATAGTGTATACAGTAGCAGTGTGCTAAATGATGGGTTGCAATCCACAGACCTGCAGAGATCTAGTCCACGTGCCACCACTTTGCAGCAGTGTAAGTTGAAGTGCGCCATTTACTGGTGGTTCGTTCAAACCCACCAGTCAGTCAGTCTAAAAGCCACAGGGGTAAAACACATGTTTTCTGACTAGATTTTCTGTCAGCAAGAATCTCTCTAGCTGCTGTGCATACAAATGCGCTGGGCCCTAGTTAGAGAGAGTAAATCCAAGAAGAAAAGGCTGCCCACCACCACTCGATCAGCCTGAAGAAAATAACCAATCAACCAGGACTATACAAAGAACCATCTGGGCTATTTACTTTCTCTCTCTCTTTCTCTCTCTCTCTCTCTCTCTCTCTCTCTCTCTCTCTCTCTCTCTCTCTCTTTCTTTTT